ATGTCTTTTGTGAAGTCTTTACACTGCTCTTCGACCCTCCTTTCACCCTGTTCTCAAGCTTATTCACACCTTGCCACAGTGGATGATAGTTACGGATGTACGCCTCTTACCAGTCCGTCGTCTTGTAATCTTATTTCGATGAACCTTTTCAGTTCTCATACCAAATAACTGTGTTCCTGTCGCGATCTTTCCAATTCTAGACCATCCTTGCAAAATGGCAACGATTGAGATAGGAGGGCGACGTAATCAAGTGTTTTCCAATTGCGAAGTGGCATTCGCGACAGGCAATCCAAACTTGCAATCGGAATTCTGTCACTTCGAACAAATTCAGCTATATTCATATTGGGACAATATTCTTGACTTATTTCTTCTGCGACCACGTCATGTACATCTGTATGTATACGCTCCGTAAAGGATCTTCGGCTTCATGAAAAATTTTCTCCGCCTGTTCGGAAGTCATTTCATCGGAAATCCACTGAAGGAACTTTGAACTTGTCAAAGCTCGGCGGAAAGATGCCCAAGTTACTTGACCCATCCGACGGGCATTGGGATCTGATGATTCAATGCTTGATTCTTCCACTGTAAATCGTACTTTTTTGACTGACTTACCATCATCCTTTCCGTTTGTAGGACACCTAACTCCAACACTGTGCACTTGACTTGAAGGAGGATTAAATAATCAGTAATGGTCCACATTTTAGACAATGCATCGAAGAAACTCACGATAGACTTTCCAGTCCTTTGAGAACTGAATAGAGCGATGAACCAGCAAGACTATCTATGTTTCTAGACCTCGCGGCTGAGAAGTACTTCTCGTTGAACGCTTTTAAGGACGGCCCCAAGTCCTGAGGACCATCGTCATAAAGACGTATATCTGCTTCCTCGATCCAGAGCCATCCTCCAGGTTTCAGGAGAGATACGACATTCTCAAGTACCTTTTTCCAATCAGGGAGCTGAAGGGAAGTGAGATTAATGTGCCATCGTAAGACGATAGGAAAAGACGTACATGCACAAAGACGAGGCGTGCATGAATGATATCAAAACTCTCTGTTTCAAAGGGTAATTGATTCGTGACGTCCAGTTGTAGGAATAGCATGTTTGAAGGTAGGGGACGTGGCGGTAAGGGGGACTTGTCAACGGCAATCACTGTGGCTTCAGGATATGTCTGTGCAGCTTGAATGGCCCTTTGCACAACATTGGAAAGAGTGAATGCCCGCTACGGACTCGACATACCAAGCACCGCTACCACAGCTATAGACGGGATTGGTGAGCCTACGTTTTCCAGACTCAGTCAAAGTTTTCAATGCCTCACCCGAGCTCAAAAATTCTCTTGATGTTCTGGACGGGTGGGCACAAGGTGAGCTTGTGGCCTAGGCAAGCGTCGATTCCCTTGTGCATTTCATCTAACCTGATGTTCAAGCACAAAGATTAGCTTAACTGCAGCTTTAAATAGAATATAATAGAAACAAGGTTACCTCTCCCACTCTGGATCAGCGTTCTAGTTTTGGTAAGTTTCATATACCACAAGACAAGAGAGGGAGACTGACTGTCAAGTAATATAGCTGGCCCGTATTATGGGACGCAGGAGCTGGATCAGTGAGCGTCATTGAATTATAGACCGCGGGTTACCACGATTTCTTATATACGGCTTGTGGAACTTTGGGAAAGATTACCCACAAACCAAGCAGACTGATAAGAGTCCTCCCACCTCCCGCTGAGATGCCAGATTAGGTTCAGTCAAGCGTGGCGCTTGGCAGCCTATAACTGGCTTAAGATCAAAATCATGCGCCAGCTCGGAACTGGATCGTATAGCATTATTGATGGAATTGTGGCCATGCTGGAGTGGTTCGCTGAATTCATTGGATGTATGAGAGCTGGCGGTAGAATGCATAGAGAACGTCATTCAACGCCTCCTATCGAATGGTGCCTCGTTGAAAGAGAACCTAATCTCAGGCCTGTTCGCATTGGCCTTCTTGAGTCGCAGAAAGCACTTGATTTTGGTAGAGATGATGACAATCTGATTTCTGAAACTGGCAAACATTTCTGATACAGATGGACTGACTTCGCGCTGCGGAGTCCAAACCTGGATTTGTTCAAGGCAGTGTTAGTAACAGAAAATGGGGCAGAACAGTCGGTGCAAAAAGACGTGCAGCAGTAGATATCACGGAATCCAGAGGCCTTCACAACGTCGTTGAGTATCTGGAACATTATCAGGACTGCTGTCCAAGTAAGATCAAATCCAGTTGTCTCGATCAATATTTGGAATACTCAAGCACCTTGAATACTTGCTATTTACTCACCTGGTGTTGCCTGATCTCACACATGTATAACTGATATCGTGCTCATGAGCACCGCAAAATGAATCATAACCCAGTTCTACAGTAATGCAAAAGACACTGGGAAATTAGCGATGCCTCACCACGCAGCCTTGATCAAATCAGACCCCCTTTCCGCCACGACGTACGTAGCAGCCTGAGTATGTGCAGTAGGCACTAACGGCTGGGAGAATCGCACAGTATCAGTCTTCCTTTACCGCCCGGACACAGGCAAACCGTACTCACAATGACCGATGAGTCAATAACTCGGAGACCCGCAACCTTTTTTACCCTCAAATCTGGATCTACTACACCATAGCCTGCCCCTTTCGCTGACATCGACGCCGTACCGACTATATGTGAGACAGTGATGGCTGAATTGCGAATAAAAGTGTCCAGTTCGTCGTCGGTGACGGCAGTATCGACAAGTTGAATCACGTAGTCTGCAAAAGCGGGTGCTTGGACAAATCGGCGGGAAGCGCGGATAGCTTCGCGCATGACAAAGATGTCGAAAGGGGAGTCGAGAAGGTTCGGGTTGACAATCGGAGGGTCGAATGGGTTGCTGGAATTTATCAGGATGCTACCACCTGAATATCGGCGAATGAGATTGAGTCATTCAGTGCTCACGCTGAGTGTAAAACATACGTGAGAGAGGCGTTACCACCGCTGTACCGATCACCATGAAGTTCCCTGTAGGAGGTATGGGCAGCCGCGTCGCACCATTCTGTGAAGAAAATTAGAGTGCGGAAGCATAGGAAGAGATACCATACAGCGATGATGAATTCGTAGTGAGCACCTCGTGGACCCGCAGACGGATCTTTGAACTCTTTGAATATCGTAGAGTTAGCGGGAAGACGGAGCCACCCTGCGGTGTTGAACGTTCCAGCCGCATATGGACCCATGTGTGTCGCATTCCACTCCCTAGTCTGCTCTTCCATCAAGGTGGCATTCCGCAAGACTGTCTCAAAAGTGTCCGTGGAGTTAACAAGCCAAGTGTTCGCTACGAATGCATGGTCTGTCAGGTTTTTCCCAACTGAAGGGAGATGTACGAGAGGTTTAACTCCAACTTCAGAGAGATGCGCCGAGTCCCCAATACCAGAGTTTTGGAGGATGTGTGGAGTACCGAGAGCACCACCGGATAAAATCACCTCTTTCTTGGCGGTAATTCTTTTACGTGGTCCAACTAGTTGTGAAAGGGATTAGGTGATGTTCGATGCACTACGCCTAGGCTCACCTCCGCGACTACTATCGTCTGCAAATTCTACACCTTTGAAGACGGGAAGTCCTTTCGCAGTGCCAGTTCGGAATACACGTGTCACCCGAGAACCGGTCAATATGTGTAGATTCTGCCGCTGCGCGAATTTCGGTGCAAGATAGGATACTGCGGAACTGCTTCGTACTCCAGCATTGATGGTAGATTGCGTCCAACCTTTATTTAGTGGTTTGATTTGATTGCATTAAAGAAACTATGTAGGAACAAACCGATGCCAATTGTATTCCCAGAATTCATATCCAGATTGAAAGGGAACTCCGGGAGCTCCGACGCCGCCTGAATGACCCTGTGATCAAAGGAGTATACGAACCCCGGAAGGCTGACAGCGTTTATACCGTGGAAGCCATGTACAGATGGGTCAAATTCTCCCGTAGTGTTGTGATGGTCTGCGGGTTCAGTCCATCTTTCGTTCTTCAGGTCACGTTGTAAGTGAGAGGACGATCACGCTAAGGAAAAACATACCCTACGGAGATACGGCTGTATATTGTTCCATGACCACCCAATATCCTTGGTCAGCTTTGCATATCGATCGTAGTCGTCGGAAGAACCACGCGTGTATGCAAGACCATCTAGGGAGTAAAATATAGAATGGATATGACTGCAATTAGACGGACAGACAGGGCGTACTCATGGAGCTGGTGCCACCAAGAATGTGGCCCTGTGGGTAGCTCATGGACCGCCCACCTAATCCTGTCATAGGCGCAGTCGTATAGTTCCAGTCCGCGGGCGTATTGAAAAGACGGCTGTTAAAGAAGGGCACCTCTGAGTTGAAGACATCGACATTACTTCATTGGAACATGTGTGAGCTGGCAAGACCAATCTCAATCATGAATCAAGCGGCCTTACGTTCCCCCAGCTTCAATGACTAGCACAGAGTAACGAGAACTTTCAGTAAGCCGATTGGCAACAACGAGACCAGCAGTTCCACCTAATAATATGCCAATACATCAGTATCTTCCACATACAAAAAGGATAAAAGCAACACATTACCTCCAACGATCACAAAGTCAAAGTCAGTATGAGGCAGGTCTTCAGCCCGCGCTACGATCGCCGCCAACGACGACTTGACCAACACAGCGGCAAGAATAATCTGTTTGAGAGGAAAGAACACCATAGGATATGAAGATTGGAAGTCGTGTGTGAGGCCGCCTGGCTAACCTGGAATCCAAAGCGTAGTCGACACTTCTCTCCAGCTTCTCAAGTTCTATGATTTTCTTTGCGGGACGCTTCGCGATGCAGACAGTTGGAACCTGGAGCACATGATGCAAGGAACCATTCCAAGGTTGCATCACTTGAGCTTCCTCGATGTGTGTTTCGCCGAGGCGAGGGGTTCAGCTAACAGCATACCATGACAGCATACATCAAGTAGTCAGGTAGCCCTCATGGGTCGATCAGTGGAAGTAAATATAAGATCCGGTATGGTGTAACGGCTAACATTGCCGCCTTTCATTGTATGAGTGCGCGGCGGCTCGGGGTTCGATTCCCCGTACCGGAATGTTTTTGTACTTTCCAAAACTTTAGGGATGGTATCATTCGACGGCAAAGGCCTATCCATATCGGATATGGTGTAACGGCTAACATTGCCGCCTCTCACTCCATATGAGTGCGCGGCAGCTCGGGGTTCGATTCCCCGTATCCGAAACAGATTTTTGATTCCGTCTTCGCTCGCCTTCGAAATCAGTCTTTGCTCCAAAAGGACAACACAACAAACAACCCAGGGCAATAAATGTCTTTGCATTGATAACCAGAAACTATCTAGGAACACGATACATATCTAATGGCGAGTAAAAAAAGATAACTCCGGCATACACACTGTGAGAACCGTGACGCAGTCTATTATAACAAGTACGGTATGAAGTTGAAGTCAAGTCCGAGATTCAAACACACGGACTGTTTATTCGAGAATGATGGGAAGGAGAGAATCTGAGTTGATTCGAGCTGACTGGTTCGGATCCTACAAAAATAACAAAGCACGGCATTAGCTCATATGCATGGTAAAAAAATGGCAAGATGCTCACATGAGGGAAGGCTATATGTACCATTCCATAACATGGTGTGTAATGATATATTTCGTGTGCGGTGAGGTAAGGATAAGATGAATGAGACGATCATGAATGACGGGGGGGCGATGCGATTGGACGACGTGCTAGCAGAATAAATAGAGACGAACGGGAGATGGACAGGATCAGAGTGAGATGAATGGATGTGGACAAATGAGTGGTATCAAGCAATGAAAGGGTAACGGATTCGTGAATGACAAGAGATGGTCATGGACAAAATTGCTTGAGGGTGTGAGGAGTGAGAATGGCACGAGGCATCGAATCAACTAGTCGGCCGCAGTAACTTCAAAGCTCATCAAGCAAGGGCCCTGACACCCTCATCCCATTCCTCCCTCCTAACACTCCCAACACCTTTACAAACCGAACAACCAACCTCTACAAAGTCTCCCTGCGCCACATTCACATCCTCTCCAAGCGCATTCGCGACCCTCGCCGCGCTAACCAGACAAGCAGGGTGGAACGTATGCCCGCACACCGCCTCCTTCTCCGGCGTGACAGCGCGAATACTCAACTGCCTCCTCGCCCCTTCTGTCAGCACAGCCCCAACAAACGGCTCCTCGTCGCTCGGTCCGACTCCACAGCTGACGTCATAGCACCTAAATCCCGCCTCGCGCTCCCTCTTCTCGATGCGCTGGCGCAACGTCGGCCCTGGAGGGGGAGGAAGCGTCCAAGGCTTTTTCTCCCTTGGTGCACGCTCGCGGCGGACTCGCGGGGAAGCTGTAGGCGGAACCTGGCCGTCTGGTCCAGGCGGTGCTTGTTGAGGTTGTCCTGACGGTGTTTGCGTTTGCGCTTGCACTTGTGCCGGTTGTGCCGCGCCGGCCGGGATAGGACCAAGATTGGACGGATTGAATGGCTGGGGTTGGAAGAAGCGTGCCCAAGGCGGCAAAGGCAAAGCCCGTTCACCAGCCTGTTGTTGAGGTTGTTGGGGCTGCTGCTGAGGCACATTTAGAGCATTGGTACCGTTAGCAGCGTTTAAACTCTGACTGAAAATATCAGGCAGCATGCGCATGAGTCCACTCAATGGAGACCCATCATCAGCCTGCGGTTGCGCCTGGGGTACTGCAGGTTGCTCCTGCTGCTGCACGGCTTGTGCGGGTGGCTGAGCCATACCAAAAGCAGGAGGCGGCGTCAGCGTCGCACCAGGGAAAAGTGAAGCGAACGGTATGAATGGAATGTTCATTGCCGGCCCAGGTGCGTGGACGGGAGGATTTGCGTTTGCATCGGCCGCATTGGGATTAGCAAGAGCCTCAGTCGCATTAGCATTGTCAGTTCCCCTTGCGTTCAATCCAGTCGCTTCATCGTTGGTCTCGGTACCGATGTTATTGTTGACGTTGGCTTGATTACCTCCGCCGCCGCCGACAATGGGAGACCCAAGCACATCCAAACCCGCAATCAAATTCCCCAAGTTAAACACCGGCGTCCCACCGATCGTCGCTGCGGGCGGACTTATAGGCAACGGCGCCAAGACAAACCCTGGGACCCCGCCTGCGCCTGGAGGAAATGCATTTGCATTTTGAGGCTGTGGCTGTTGTTCGTGCTGTTGCTGGTGCTCCTGCCCAGCTTCTTCGCCTTGTCAACCCTCTTCTGCCTGAGCCTGAGCCTGGCTTTGAGGTTGCGCCTGCGCACCCTGCCCTCCTGTCGTCTGTCTTTGCCCCTGTCCCTGCGCCTGCGCCATCGACGCAAATACCGCATTCAAAAAGTCCCTAAATATCGGCGCGTTCGGCATTTGCGCTGGTCCCTGTCCCTGTCCTTGTCCCTGTCCTTGTCCCGCCTGCTGCCCGCCACCAATATCCTGCGCTTGCGCGGCCTGCCCCTGCTGTTCTGCACTCGCCCCTTGCTCCCCTTGCGCCTCCGCTTGATCCTGTTGACTCTGGGGCTGATTCCCACGCGCCCCGAGCCCCGCCTGTCCCTGCTGGAGCGGCTGACTAAACAACGAGGCGAGTGCCTCACCCATCGTCCGACCGGTGACCGTACCCGTGAACACGTTCGTGAAACCCGGTGCTGGTCTGTGATGCTGCTGTTGTTCCTGTTGCAGTTGAGCTGCACCTCCATCTGGGACTGCACGTGGATCCGGGGCCGGGGGAACGGGGGGATCAGTAGGGGGAGGGGGACGAGGAGGATGAGGGTGAGGATGAGGCAACGCCACCCTCAGAATCTCACCCAACTCCCTAGCCTGCGCGTCACTCAAATCCATCATTGTCACTTCTTCAATCTCTGCATCGTTCATGTCTCCCATGCCACCCATTCCCATTCCCATAGCCATTCCACCCATTCCCATGTCCAAATCCATAAAGGTAGGACCCTGGTTTTGGTTCTGGTTCTGATGCTGATCATGATTGTGGAATGCATTTTCCGCATCCGCACCCGGATTCATATTTGTATTGTGGGCAGGGTTTGAGTCGGGATTGACGTTGATAGGGTTGGCGTTGTGCCCAACATGGTTAGGATTCGGACCAATGATGATATCAAAGCCGATTGTTAAGACCGCACCAGGTAAGGGGCCGTGTGTATGTCCGGGGTTTCGGTGGGGTTGGGGATGTGGTTGACCGGCGTTGGCGGGATTTGCGGTTTGAGTTTGAGTTTGTGGTTCGGGGTTGGTAGGTTCATCTGGGTTATCTGTGTTGGCGTCATTAGGAGGTGGAGCTGGAATATCAATGAGGACGATGTCTTGGAAAAAATAATGCAAAAAACAAACCTTCACCCTGCTGCTGCTGCTCTCCCGTCTGTCCCTGCCTTCCGGCCCATCTGTTCCTAAAATCAAACGAAGGAATAAACGGCTGCCGTCTCGCCGTCAACTTCTCTGGATCAATATTAAACCTGCACGTAGGACACGTCGTCTGTCTCGGGCGGGAGAACCACGGGATCAGACATGCGGCATGGAAGACGTGTGCGCAGGGCAAAGAGACAATTTTTGGCTGCGCGGGGTCGGTCGATGAGACCAATTTCTTCGAGGTAGGAGGCGTGGATGTGGGTGCGAGTACGGGCGCTGTGTCCTGCGAAGGAGATGTTGGTGTTGATAGGGCGTCTTCTCTTTCCGCATGCTGAGGTTCTTCTACCTGAGTCTTATCATCACTATCGACCCCAAACCCACCCTCGCCATCCAAAAGTGTATCCCAACAAATCGCACAGGAGCAGTCCCCCGCACCCATGCCGTCGCCCTCCCCGTTCCCAGACGGTAACTTCCCATTAAGCGCCTCAAGTCGCCGGACAAGTCCCACGGGTACCTCCTCAAGCGCATCAACAAGCTGTTTTGCGCGCTCGGGGTCGTCCGTTTCGCGTTCTGAGAGCGCACTGAGGAATCCGAGAAAGTCGGTGAGCCCCACGCCTTGGTTGCCGGGGTCGATGGCTGGTAGAGGACGCACGATGCGCTGGCCGTTAAGGTCAATTGTGACAGCAAAACCATTGATGATGGGCGGGCGCTGCCAATGCCGGTGCGTCTGGGGCACTGGTGGTGGTTGATCCTGATTCGCCTGATTTTGGTTGTCCTGCCCTTCAGGAGCAGCGTTCGTCATTCCTGGAGGGATGGGGACCACAGGAACGTTGATTGGACCATCAGAAGAAAGCAGATTCTCTGGGATTGTTGCATCAAGAGGATTATTAATGCGCTGAGAAGGGTGTCTGCGGTCCCGCTCTTCGTCGTCGTCGTTGTCGACCCGCGGCCGGCGGTTGCTCGTCGTGTGTGGGGGTGATATGGGTTCTGGAGGGGGGATATTCTCCTCGTCGACAGTCTGCATCACGACCTCCTCTTCGTCTTGGCTCGAGTCAGAGTGGAGCTCATCGTCCGAGTCAGACGAGTCAGACACAGACTGGAGGTCGGGGAGGTCGTCGTTGTTGTCAGTGTCCATAGGCACATCGTGCTCATCGTGCTGGACGGGCTGGACGTCGACGGGTGGCATTGCGGCGAGTGTGCGGAGGACTTGATTGATGAAAGCGTCCATTTGGTCGAAAGCAAGAAGCGCCGAGACCCGACTGGCGACTGCGGCCGCTGTTGCCGCCTGTTTGGCTGATACGAGACTGATCTAGAACAAATAACAGAACATATCACTCCACACTTGTTTCTTTCCCAAGTATCATTCAAAGGCTGGCCATGGATATATGTACATTTATCTGTTTCATGCAATCGATTCAATCATGTGTTATGTATCAAGTTTCAACATCCTCTCGAGCGCTCATCCGGTCACCGGCTGATTTCATCTCATTGGCAACAACTCACCTGCTAATGATATCTATCATGAGCCATTGATTGAAGCTGTGTCTACATCCCCAGTGATCTGGCCCCAAGTGGAGTCCAACCAACTCCACTACGCACAATCAATCGTTCTGTCACACGCCAGTGACTCTCATTCACTTTCTTCACTTTCTTCGGCTCACATTGGATCTGGATATGCGAGACGCACCTTTGTTTGATTGAACAGAGGACCCCAGATCGAAAAGCCTACAACAAAAGGCTTTGCTTTAACGTAACCACATGCCTTGAGCTCAAAGGGTCGGGGTATCTCTCAGGAAAAGACGCTCGTTCGGCAGACCGTGACTTTCGACTTACGATACATTTTAGTATTCGGTCACTGGCCACTGGCGGAC